ACCCCGGACCATGTGCATGGTTGGCGAGCATCCTACCGCTATGCTACCGACGCACTATATCAACGTCTTACCAAACCTTAATCGTGACCCCAACCCTAATCCTAATGATAACCCTTATCCTAACCTTAACCCTAATTCTAACTCTTACGAGTTATTAACATATAGTTCAAACAGTACTTAAAAACGTGATCGGAGTGAAATTTACACCTTAATTCGTGAACGGTATTCACACTGGAGCCATAATAATAATAAAATAATAATAGAAAGTCCCGTTACCCAACGTTCAAGGTCATCGGGGCATCCGCACCCCTGAGACGTGACACTTTAACTTCGCCGTCATTGGTTGCTCACTAATGGGGATTTCATTATGAGCAGCTGACATCGGTTAGAGAACTATTGGAAAACCTGATTTCGTTTCAAATTATTTTGAAAGTGATAACAAGATAGATATGCCTGGAGAATTTGATCATGAAAGCAATTTAATTTATACCCTCCTTGAAATATGCTCACTGAGGTAAACTTGTTATAAGTACTCAATCTTAAGAAGGCGCTTAAATAGCCTCAAAGGAGAATGGCTATTTATGTTGCATTGTGAATACATATCAGTGTGTAAGGCAGACAGAAGTCAATAAACAGGATACACGAAAATCAAAATAGAAAAAATTTAAACAGATCATATCTCAATTGTGTTTCATATAATGTACAGAATTTTCACTGGAGTTTATTATATATATATATATATTGTTCCCTTGGGTTCCTAGTGGAACATAGGGCTTCAACTACACGTCTCCACTCGTTTCTGTCTTCTGCTGTACTTTTCACCTGCATCCATGTTAGTCCATACTGTTTCAGCTCCTCTTCACACGATCTCCTCCATGTCACCCTTGCACGTCCCACTCGCCGCTTCCCTTTCGGGTTCCACTCGAGCACTGGCCTGACGCGCGATGTCACCCAGTGGCCTCCTCAGCTAGTGTCCAATCCATCTCCACTTTCTCCTGCATATTTGTTGGGCGATTGGTTCTTGTTTTGTTTGTTCCCATAGTTTCTTGTTGGTGATTCTTTCCAGCCATCTGATCTTGAGTATAGAGCGAAGACAGCTGTTGATAAAGGTCTGCAACAGGCTGTTGGAAATATTGCAGACCGCGATCTTCAAATACAACATTAATTGACAGTAGATTGTGTGACACAGTTTTATATGACCTGAAGCACAAACCAAGCCATCATGATATCTCTTCTTCGTCTCCATCGAGAAATACACGATGACATTTGGTTGAATGTCAATTATACAACGTTCAGGAGTACATTTTGTGAAGGAGGGACACCACTTAGCAACGGTTATCTCATATACTGGGATGGATAAGCTGCCATCCATCGAGGATAATGCTTATTCACGTTTTCAATAGGATCGACTTGCGAATCAGCAGGTTGTAAATGTTTTAAATACTCGCCAGGTCATATTTCACTAGATTTAAACAAATTGAATAAGAGAAATTATATGCAACATATTGGATGGAGTTTGTTTACGGTAGCCCAACTATTAAACAGGCCGCCTATTATATAACTGAAACTATATAGAAATCAATAAAAACAAGCTAAATCCTCAGATTCAAAAATATTCCATTCTGTATATTCATCAACTTTATCCTACCCTATTTTTAATGTCTCTCTAAACTCTGACCATCTTTTAACTATTCTCTACACAGAAACTGGTTAATTCCTCATTGCATGCTGAATAGTTTATGTTGAGTGTCATTATTGTACATCTCCGCTAATTGTAACCTCGTAGTCCGTTACTATGGTGATTGAAAGACAAATTAACCATTTTGTTTACTTTTTAAATCAAATTGGTGGATAGTAACTAGCAGTGGATGGAATCCAGAATGAAGCGCATTTCGTCCTATTTGGGACTCGTCAGTCACTGGATGTACCTGCATTCCGCAGTGAGTTAGTGATGGTGTTCCCCCACAGAGGCTCGAACTCAGTGCCCATAGTTTCAAACGCCAAAGCCGGTTATCCACTAGACCACTTGGGCCACGAGAGCCACCTGTGGATTCCACTGCTAGTCACCATCTACCAATTAACTTCTATAATATTAATGGTGGCATTATACGCTTGAACTGTATTACATATGCTGCACTTTTATCAGAAAATGTTACTTGAGGAGACGTAGTAAGTTCAAAACTCTTCAACTTATTATATTATAGATGAATTTTCATAAAATCATGCTGGTATATGTTTATATATTTGACCTATTTATTGAAGCAGGTGGCGCCACTTCAAAAATAGGGGTAAATACCATATAATTGCCTGTTTTATGTTGATTGTTGAAACCTACAATCTTTTAAGATTTATAATGCTATTATTTAATTCTTATATCCAGGACATTGATTCAGTACAATTTGTACTATTAACACTACACACACACACACAAAATTCAATAATTTTATGTACTTTCTATTTCTTTTCTTTTCTTTTTTTTGCTATTTACCCGAGAGAAAAAGTATTTTTTTTAAGGTTAAGGTCATTTATTTTGTTGAAATGAAGAAACTTGTTTTTCTTTGTCGTTCAATTCTCATTCATACTAGGCCTTTGGTGATTGTAGCTAAGTGTATGTTGTGTGTCTAAGTGCGTGTGTATGTGTGTGTGTTTAATTTTTTCATCCATTTTATAATTAGTGTGTTTATGTTTAGTGTGTCTATCTAAATGTTCATAACTAGATCATTCCATGAACACAGACACAACAACAAATATTATAATGTACGTGTATGTCAGTAATTAGGGTGTGTGTTCTTTGTATACACGTGTGTGTGTGTGTGCGTATAGCTCTCAACCGACCAATAGAATCATCACAAGTAAGTTCAAATAGTGATTTATCTATTCAACAAGCCTAGAAGATATCACCCTTTGTTTACTTTGTGTATTTTTAAGTATTGGCTTTGTAGGGATTTTTGTTTGTTTGTTTGATTGGTTGGTTGAAGGATTTCATAATGAGCTGACATCAGTTACAGAACTACTAGAAAACCAACTGGAAGTACTAGACAGCTGTTCCATCAGCCTAGTTTGGGACTTTGTGTATACATAAGCTCTTATATAGACGTTGAATGCCTCAGGAAAGTCTTCATAAGATGGTTAGAGTAAAGGATACACGTCAGCGGTTTAAGAGCAAAAGATGGGGATTCAACTTGATCACTTAATTAAAAATGGTATTGGTGAATTTAATTGGAATTGAACTTCCCCTCTGATTGATTGATTGATTGATTAGACACCGAAGTGTTCGGCCTCAGGTTGACATGTCAGCTCCTTAACTCGAAGTAAAATGGTGGATGGTGACTCACAGTGGAGTCCAGGATGCGCATATCTCACTCCTCTTTAGGACTCGTCAGTCACTGGATTCATTCTCCATTGATTAGGTGGTGGTGTCCCGCCCGCCACTGGGGCTCGAACCCAGTACCCACTAGCCCACAAGAGCCATCTCTTGTGGGAACACCCTCACTCACTCACTCACTGAAAAATGCAGGTATATCAAGCTGACGAGTTTCGAATAGGACGAAATGCTCATCCTGATGGATTCCACTGCTACTCACTGTCCACCAATATACTTGGTGAATGTTTCATCGTCAGGAAGGCCTTCCTTTCAAACAAACAGGTTTCTTTTCAGTCTCTGATCCTGTAATTCAAGATTCCGAGGGTGAATCTAACGTTCACTACGACAACTATGAACTTGGATCCCAAAATGGAGCTCAGGTTTATTAAATAAGACATTTCATCATTAGGTGGTGGTGATTCAAATCCATCAGAGAATAAACATGTCCCAATTCTAGTTCACTCATAATGTAGCCTGTTCGAATGTCTTAGAAGAAACTCGTATATCGTCAGTAATATCGCAATGTGAGTGAACGACTCTGATATTGAATATCGAGTCAAGGGGGTCCCAGTGTCTGAATGGTCTGCGAGCTTGTCTTGTCAGCGATAGGTCCCAGGTTCAAACTCTGGTGGGTGTGCCCCACCAATGAGTCCCAGACTAGGAAGATACAACTGTCCAGTACTGCCTGTAGGATTGGCGTTGGTGGTTCAGCGGAAGAACGCTCACCAACCACTCACGTGGTCCGAAGTTCGACCCTCCTAAACCCTGCTAAGCTGGAAGTAATTCCGGTAAACAGGGAAGATTGGGCATGAGGCTACCAACCCCACCTCGTAAAAATAAATACCACTTCTGATACCTCCAAGCTGAAGCCTTATGTTCAGCTGGGAAGGTGAAGGAATAAAATTTTTAAAAATAATAAAATCGAGCTAAGAGATTAGGTGTTTATGAAAGTTTTTCAGTAGTCTGTTGGAAAGGCAGTCTTGAGAGTCAATTCTTAGAATCCAAAAAAATCAGTGACTTGATATCAATCACTTTTCAAAGTACTTAGAGCTTATTCAAGTACTGATTTGTAAGGATTCAATTGATTGGTTACAGGATTTCATCATGAGCTGACATCGGTTAGAGAACTATTGGCAAACCTGCACTGGAGTACTACTGGACAGCTGTTTCGTCATCCTAGTCTGGGACTCTTCATCAGTACGCGCCCATCTCATTACTAGGGTTCGAACCCAGGACCTTCTGGTTCACAAGGTGAGCTATCTTGTAGACCATTCAGCCACTGGGATCCGATCCAATGGCTAGCCCATGAATTCTAACTTCTGCCAATTCACGACATAGCGCGACCACTAGCCAATGTCTTCGGCGAATATTTGTCCTCACACCCAACCTGCTGTACCCTACCGAGTACAGTGGCTCACCTAGTAACTAGAAGATCGTGAGTCCAAACCCCAGTGAATGCGTGCTGCTGAAGAGTCCCGAACTAGGCTGACGAAACAGCTCTCCAGTACTCCCAGCTGGTTTTCAAACGGTTCTGTAACCAATTTAGACCTCGTTCTCCACATCAACTTCTTCAGAGTGACAATATTTCTGATAAATTTGTTTGTTTACCGTATTTCTTCCTTTTTTGTTTTCACAGGTGGACCAATACACAAAAAGTGTTTAGATCATTGGGATTCATGTTGTGATTTCTATTGCCAGCTGTTGAATAATGCAACTAGTTCAATTCTAAATCAATCATCATCACCAATCGATATCAACTCTCCGTCTTCATTATCATCAACATCAACAAATAGTTTTAATTTTAATACTGGAAATTTTGATTCACCAATTAGTAAATCATTTATGGAAGGTTTATTTCGACTTTATGAATGTCCATTATGCGGTCAGTATACATTGTATCGATCATCGATAAATTCAAAAACTGGTAAGCTGAATATATTATTCATTATTTATTCGTATTACATATTACTAGAAAATTCAAGTGTTGGTCTTCAGGGATTTGATTTGGTCGGTTAAGAGATTTTATCATAAGCTGACATCGGTTAGAAGATCACTGAAGTATTGGACAGCTAGCGAATCCGTCAGCCTAGTTTGGGACTCTTCACCAGTACGTACCCACTCAACCAACTGGGTTGGAACTCACCAAATTGCAAGGCGATCTAGCTCGTAGACCATTTAGCCAGTGGGACCTGGGTTTCAGTGCTAGTCCTAGTTACGCTGTACCATGGGCTGGCCGCTGGATCGGGTTCCAATGGCCCAGTGGTCTATGAGCTCGCTTACCTTTTAACCAGAAGGTCATGTGTTGGAACCCTGGCAGTAGCGTGGGTCAGTATTGCTGAAGAGTCCCAAAACTAGGCTGACGAAACAGCTATCTGTCTAGTACTCCTAAGTTTTCTAGTAGTTCTATGCCCACAAAATTTGATTTAATCTTTCATATAGTGTTTAAACACCTCAATAATAAAGACATCGAGTTACACGATTTTCATCATGAGCTGACATTAGTTAGAGAACCATTGGAAAACCTGGGAGTACTGGACAGATGTTTCGTCCTAGTTTGGGGCTCTTCAGAAGTACGCACCCACCGGGACTCAAGCCCAGGGCCTTCTGGTTACAACGTTTACTTACGTTTACTTTGGCTATCTCCTACGGGAGGATGAGCCGGCTTCATGAACATCTCGAGTAAGAGAGTTCATGAAGTTTCATGGGAATTTGGTACGAGTGATGTCCCCAGAATCACTCGGCCTTTTGTTTGAGAGTGCAGCTCTAGCCTTTACACAACCAAGTGTGACGTACAAGGCAGTAGGAGTGGAGTAGGGAGTCCACTATCCATTGGCAGCCGGTGACCGGAGTTCGGTTCATACGCCTTTTTGAATGGGGCCAGACATCCAGGACATCCAACAAGCCCTTTGTCCATGCGTCTGCCGGTAAACTCCAGTGAGCTTCATACGCCAGTCGTTGGAGGTTTGGAATCAGGGTTTAGCCATCTCCCCTAGACTGTCATCCAATGGACAGTCAACCCGGTGAAGAGCGCCGGGCATCCGCTTTCGCCCTCTCACTTTGGTGAAAAACACTTCCGCCACGTGAAGGCAGTGAGTAGGACTTCCTCAGGAGAGGCTATGTAAGACGCCCGGTCATATGGGAGCATTTCAAGAGGTGTGCGGAGAGGTGGCCAACCCGCAGCGCAAGGCACCCACCCCCGACCATCCTGAGGCTTTGGAGGCTTCTGGTTACAAGCCGAGCTATGTCGTAGACCCTTAGGCCACTGGGAACTGATCCAATGGCTAGCCCATGAATTCTGACTTCTGCCAATTCACGTCATAGCGCAAGCACTAGCCAATGTCTTCGGCGAGTATTTGTCCTCACACCCGACCTACTGCACCCTAATGGTCACGACTTCTCACTAGAACCCCAGGTAACTACCTACCTGAATAGGGCAAGTCGCTAGTGAGCATCTCATTGATATTCAAGTGTTGGTTTGTAGGTGCACACTGATGAAGAGTCCCAAACTAGGACGAAACAACTGTTCAGTACTATCAGATTTTCCAATGGTTCTCTAACTAATGTCAGCTCATGATGAAAATCCTGTAACCAATCAAATCCCTGCAAACCAACACTTGAAAGGCATCGAGTATTGGTCATGTTACCAAGTCATCATTCATAAATACATCGGGGGTAAAAACTAGAATTTGGACATCTCCCCCCTATTCTAATGTTAAATGTGACTGACCTTTACATACTGTCAATCCCGTGGATAACCCATGATAGATAGACTAGGCAGATTTCTGCATTATATTTTCATTCCCCCAATCACGGATTCAAATGAAATAATACCTACATTTGAGAGCATTTCTCTCTCAATTCTGGACATTTATGTCATGAAATGAGATCATTTCTTTTTGTTGTAGGTTCTCATTTTATTTCGCATAAATATTTTTGAGTACTTTTGTATGTGTATATGTCTATCAGGTGTGTGTTTGTGTGTGTGTGTGTCAGTGAGTGAGTGAGTGAGTATTGGTTTTAGTTTCTTTGTTTAACAATGCGGATATATACAAAATCAACCGATTATTATTATTATTATTATTATTATTATTATTATTATGGTATATTCCTGGATATGTACCAAGGAATGAATGAGTGAGTGAATTGGTTTAATGTCTTCTATCTAGGCTTCAAATAGAGAAGAGGGAGATTACTAAACATACTACTACTACTATTTAGGATTTCAGTCAATCAAGATGTATTATTATTATTATTGCTGTTATTGTTCCCTTGGGTTCCTAGTGGAACATAGGGCTTTAACTGCACGTCTCCACTTGCTTCTGTCTTCTGCTGTACTTTTCACCTGCATCCATGTTAGTCTATACTGTTTCATCTCCTCCTCACACGATCTCCTCCATGTCACCTCGGAGTTCTGTATCCAGTGCGTCCTTTATTCTCTCCAGGATGATGCGACTCAGGATTTTATTTGGCGTCGACAGGAGCATGATTCCTCGCCAGTTCTTGCAGAGTCCTAGGTCGCCCTTCTTTGGTAGTTTCACGAGGTAACCTTTCCTCCAGTCAGTAGGCACCTTTCCCTCCTTCCAGACTTTCTGAAATAATGGAGTCAGCATATCTGCTGTCGTCTCTGGGTCCGCTTTCAGTGCTTCAGAGGGTATTCCATCTGGTCCAGCTGCTTTTCCAGCTTTCAGAAGCTTGATTGCGTTCAAAACTTCAGCTTTCGTTGGAGGATTGGTGTCAACTTGCAGTTGTGTACGTGATGTTGTTGGTATTTCTGGACGTGTTGTAGGTGGTGGTCGGTTCAAGAGTCCTTTGAAGTGGTCCGCCCATTGTTTAATCTGTCTTTCTTCTTTGGTAATTGGGTTCCCTTGGCTGTCTTTTATAGGTTTCACTTGTGTTGATCTCTTCCCGGATAGGGACTTGGTTATCTGATATAGTGTCCTTAGGTCCCTTTTGCCTGCTGCCTTCTCAGCTTCAGTGGCCAGTTTGTTGTAGAATTGTCTTTTGTCCTTCCTGGCACTCTTCTTCACTTCTTTGTCCAGTGCTGTGTAAGTTGAGCTCAGCGTCTCTTTCTTCTGTTTATCTTTGCATTGAATCATTTTCTCTTTCACCATTCTCCTCTCCTCTATTAGCTTCCGAGTGTCCGTTAAGAGCCACTCCTTATCTTGTCTCTTCTTTCTTCCTAAAACCGTTGAACATGTTTTGTTAAAAATCACCTTCAGAATCAAGATGTATAAAGTGCTTTTAAGTAGAGATTCGTTTTCTTTAATGAATTTCGAAAGGGGCAAACAGGCTTCTTTACACAGGCTTTTATCACCAGTTGCACACCTCGCCTTGCTCCACTCCGTTCTGTCGTTCCCTGTTTACTCAATATTATTGATCATATGGCTAACCAGAAAGTGAATAAGCAGAAGATGAGAGGAGAAGCAAGTTCATTATTCAAAAAATATGCAGAAAGTATTGGAGATGGATTCAGCCAACATGCAATGAGGGCAGTTAGAAGGGGAGGGTGTCGAGTGGAATCTGAATTGGGAAACAGCAGGTTGAATGACTGAGTGTGTGACAATCGAGAAGATCATGTGGTGAGGAATTGAAGGTCTGTGGGAGTACTTGTCGAGTTGGTTGAAAGTGATATCATTCAAATGACGTCGTATGTTTCACTTGGAACATATATGTATAATTTGTTCAAGACTTGCTATGCATTTGAACAATACATTTCCGAAATTCTTTCAGGTGTTTTTTTCACGGACTGATATGAGTTAATGAGCAGTTGAATACAAACCATAAAAAGTATTGGACATTTAGAAGTTTCATCAGCCTAGTTTGTGACTACTAATCGTCACTACACGCCCACCTTCCATTTACAAGATGAGCTAGCTAGTAGACCATTAGGCTACTGGGACCCCACTCATCAATGGCCACTAGCCCATCAGTTCTAACTCCTACCATTTCGTACCCTATTTTAGCGCGATTGGCACCGGCCAGACGGTGTTTTTATTGGCGAGTATTTGTCCTCACGTGAACTGGATTATGCGTCAGACATTGGGAAACGAGAAGACAGGGATATCCTGGACCGACGTGAAGAATCTAGAAGACCTGAATTTCGCGGATGATTTATGTTTGATGTCACAAAAAATCGAAGACTTACAAGCAAAAACCGACAAACTGGTCGAAGAAGCAGCAAAGACAGGACTCCAGGTGAACATAGACAAAACGGAGGTTATGAAAATAACCAACCAACAACAACAGCAGCAACATACAGCGCCAATCATCATCAACGGGAGGGATTTGAAAGAGGTTACTTCATTCACTTATTTAGGGAGCATTGTCTCAACCACAGGAGGAACGGATGGGGATGTCAAATCGAGAATCGGGAAGGCGAGAAACACATTCATCAACCTGAAACCAATCTGGAAATCTTCGTCACTCAGCCTGCATCAACAACAAAATTCGGATTTTCAATACAAACATCAAGTCAGTTCTTCTATACGGATCAGAAACTTGGCCAGTGTGTCACAAAGAATATTTCCAACAGCCTGTTGCAGACCTTTATCAACAACTGTCTTCGCTCCATACTGAAGATTAGATGGCCAGAAAGAATCACAAACAAGAAGCTATGGGAACAAACGAAACAGGAACCAATCGCCCAACAAATATGCAGGAGGAAGTGGAGATGGATTGGACACTCGCTGAGAAGGCCGTTGAGCGACATCGCGCGTCAAGCCCTCGAGTGGAACCCGGAAGGGAAGCGGCGAGTGGGACGTCCAAGGGTGACATGAAGGAGATCGTGTGAAGAGGAATTGAAACAGTATCGATTAACATGGACGCAGGTGAAAAGTATAGTAGAAGACAGAAGCAAGTGGAGGCGTGTAGTTGAAGCCCTATGTTCCACTAGGAACCCAAGGGAACAATAATAACAATAATAAT